CGGCCCGGTCCAGCAGCTGTTCACTCCCCATCGGCAGCAGAAATGTGCTCCTCGTTCCCATTAATACTCACTGACAGGTGTGCACATTCCGCGTCACGCGCATGTGCCAGACCCTGGTGTGTTGGAGCAGAGCGGTGAGAGCCGCAGCAGCTGCCTCCGCGAGCAAACTCACCAGTGCGCTGTCTCCCCTCTGCAGCCAAAGTAGGCAACCCGAATAAGTCAGATTAGTAACACATCTCCCTACCTGAATCAAAATCACAAAGGAAAGAATTGTGTGACACCAAAAGGCAATGGATCATCTTTGTCCCTAGGAAAGGCCAAACCAGCAGAGGAGCTCACCACTTGGAGCGCTACAGCTGTGCCTGGGACTGCGCATGTGAGTTCAGCAGAAATGCACTTCCCACAGGCATGCAGAGGAAGGAGGCAGACAAGCAACAGGAACCCATGTATTTCCACCTTCTCTGCCTGGCACGCACGGCTCCACAGCCTCTTCACACCTGCTGTGGTTGCAGTTCTAATCTCCTGATTCACCCAACCCGAGGCAACCTGCATTCTGCCTATTACAGCATCCAGTCACTCAGGGCTCCCCCAGCTCCACGCCGGTTACCTGTGGAAGAACTGTGCTTTGAAAAATAAAACAAGACGGACCTGTGCGATCTCTTAGGTCTGTGCTGAAACACTGCTGACCCAACCCACTGTCCTTCGCCCTCTCTTCAGATCCTGGCACAATGGACAAAGACCTAACCGTCTAAAATCCTGCATTCCTCAGAGAACTCCAGCATCTCCTTTTACAAAAATGTTCACTTAACCAGGCCCTATTCCAACTCACACTTAATATGCATTTTTAATGCTAGTGCAAAATGCTTAAAGGTTTCTTTCCTTAAATGATATTAAATAATGTACTAAATATGTGGCACAAACTCAAAAAAGAATAGTGAAGTAGTATGTATGTTTTTAAGTGTATCATTTTTCTTCAGCTAGTCACAGGAGTCCCAAGGGTTATCGCTCACCACGTTGAGCTTGTCAAACTTAAAAAAAAAAAAAACTCTTGTAAGACAGGGAAGATAACACTACTATATCTTTTGGACCTGGTTCAGTAAAACAGCAAAACAAATATGCAGTTACACAGGACTTTGTCCTAGAGCTGCCGGGTTGCTACAGATCACTGCCATACTATTACTTTTCACTGGTGAGGAAATCAAGGCACAGAATTAAACCACAGGGAAACACAGGCACTTAGTGGAAGGGACCTCAGCTTTCAGATCAGAAATATTCTAGCATAAACTTATGTCCGTATGCAACTGAAGAAAAGCTAATATTTGCAAGCTAAAAAGGTATATTCAAACTTTTTGTGTCACATTTAATAGCTTTGTTAATACATAATAAACCCACTATTTTAGTTTGTTTAAATTTCTGTCCTCAGTATCAAGAAGCTCAGAGTAGAATGCCAATCCCCATGCCGATCACCACTTCCCACCCCGGGGTTTCTGGGGAGGTCTCGGGTTCCCACAAAGCCAGTAACTGTGAGCTCCACCTCCAGCAGACACCAGATGCCAGCTGCAGGTACTGAGGTTCAGAAGCAAAGCAATCTTGGGATGTGCATGTCTTCATGTAGCGTAACTACCTGAGTATAAGACAGAGTCACTCCAAGAAAATCGAAAGCAGGAAGAGGGATGGGTGTGCGGGCAGGTTCCCCAGGTGGGACACCTCGGAGTACACAGAGTGAGCACGTGAGCACACCGACAGGGACAAGTGCAAAGCCTCCAGGTGAAGCGCGCCTGGTGTTCTGCACTCTACTTGTGCTGTTCCTTATGTTAAATAATGCGATTTTTTTCTCTTAATTGAAAGTTCTGTATGATGCTCTGGAAGAAAGGATTATCCATGTCCCCAATACTGCAGAGTAGCTGCCACCTGCCCGGCAAGTACAAGGTGCTGAGTTTCATCCGATCCCACGTACCAAACAACAACAACAACACAAATGCTGCAGGGCAGCACAGGACACTGTTCCTTTCCAAGGAGATTTTTCTGATTAGATGTTGCACTGAGCACTTAACTCTCGTTGCTACACACCCTTCCATTTCTTCTTTTTTTTTAAATTATTATTATAGCATCAAACACTAACTTCCTATAAGCAACTTAGGGCACCTAGGGAAAGAAGAGAGAGAAAGAAGGGAGAGAAAACTGCTCTGCAGAAAGGGTCCACCTTAAGGAAATCAAGCCAGGAGGTGGGGTCGCCAGCCCACAGTGGCTTCTCCTTTGAACCTGCAAACCCACTGGTAACTCTATCCTGCATGTGACAGTTTAGTGCAGCAGGTATTGTTACTCTGTTGACATTTACACGCTACTTTGTAGGTTTAGTGTACATATCAGGCTTTCTCAGTGACTTCTCTGGAGCGAAGCCCACATTGCTGGAATGTTTAACACCCACCCAGGGAGGACAGCATTATCTGTTTGATGGTGATGTCATAGAAACGACCACAACAAGCAGCTGAGGGTCAGTCCTGCTCTAAGTGTCCATTTTCCAACTAAGCGGAAAGAGACGTCGGCGTCTCTCCCAGGCAATGCGTATAAGATCCGAGATGTGAGCCAAGACTGCTCCTGTGACTTCCATTCTGTCTAAGCTTCCATTAGCATTTGTGCACAACACACACTTTCAGTCTGGACCCAAGCTGGGGTCGGCCACAAAACACAGAGCAGCGGCACAGACAGCAGGCCTATTCGGTTCACTTCAGCCAAGGATCTACCCTCCACACGAAAACTACCAGATCTGGAACTGAAGATGGTGTCCAGACAGCCAGCAACGCAGACACGCAGAGCAAGCTCGGTGCACTCGGAAAGTCTGGGCGGTGACCACAGGGTGAGGCTAGGCTTCCCCGGGACCTGGCACCTGACCACTCGGGCTTTTGAAAGATGAACAGGCCTGGAGGACCAGACACGGGATCAAAGGGCAGGACAGATTGTGCAAAGCCCTGGCAGCGACGTCACAGCCGGAAGACGGCTGCAAGAAGGCTGCTGTCCTCACTGAGGTGGGAGGCTCTGTTTCTCAAGCTTTCCAAGAAGAAAACACAAAAACAACAGGGTCACCCATAGGAGGGCGGGAGGACAGTCCCACTAGTTCCAGCTTGGTTAAACCCCTCTGTCTCCCTTCCTCGTTTTGCTTTTTGCTTTGTTGCTTTCTACACTTGATCTTAGCCAAAAGGCCGAGAAGCAATGTTTTGCTGCTTTCTTAAAGAAATACAGTACTGAGAGCTGGCCTTAAAAGCCTAGTGGGGAAAAGTACGTCAATTCTACTTTGGAAAAAGAAAACCGAAAAGTGGGCCAGAACCAAGGAATACTTCGAAACTTTCCTGAAACAAATAAAGGAAGCAAAATTTTTAAAATCCGGAACCCAGAGCTTGAGTTGTTCATTCCAACCCTCTCCTTGCCCAGCTCCATAAATATTTATCTTATGCCCGCTGTCTGAGAGTTTCTGGGATTCCAAGCCAGTGAGGCAGTCTCCCTCCCCCTGCTCCGAGCAAGCTCCCGCTTGCAATCTGCTGAGAGAACAAGCAGAGGGCGACCGCCGTCCCTCGTCCCTCTCCGGGCCGCCCACCCCACCTGAACCGCACGGCGGACGCGCTCCCGTCCGCAGGGCCGAGTAACC